TTATTTATGTCCCTGGGGCATGAAAACAAGACTGCCAACTGGAACTATAGGAAATAGAAGAAATTTAGCCCTGAGTGAGTAAGGAAGGCCTGAATTGCAGATATGAGGTTCCAGGTAGAAGGTAAAGTTGGCTTAGACACCCCAACACAGCGTCGTCCCCCTCCTCCGGCAGCCCTTTGCAGCCGGGCAAAGCACAGTCTCAGGAGAGCAGGTACCACACACAGGGAGCTTGGATATCCAAAGCAGGACCTCAGTGCGTGGTGGGACACAGAAGTTCATATATGTAGGTATTTTATTTAATCTGTTAATAAAGATTAATTTGTTTATAAAGATTAATCTGTTTATAAAGACCAGGTGTTTTTAAAAATCTGTATAAATAGGAAAGAAAAACTAAGAACTATTTTGAGAACTTGAACTGATCAGCTTTAAGGGTCATACGTGGGTGGAAATGGGTTCCAATAGTATCTTAGCATTACACACATGCATACTGAAGTAGAAAGAAGGGGTACTCATGTGTCCCAAGATAATAAAATATCCTAATATTTGAAAGAGGAGTGTTAATTTAGATAGTGAATCCTGTAAAGTAGCTGGCTATAAGAAAAACCTTGACAAAATTCAGAGCTCTATTTTATAAAACCAGTAACCTGTTAGAAAACAAAATGGACAATGAGATCTTACGACAATAATAATTTTTTGAGCCTCATAATAACCAATGTTAAGGGTAACCTTAACAAGCAATGTGTGAGGCCCACAGGAAGAAATGGAGAAAACTTGTAGAATACTTGGCTAAATAGGTATTTACAATATTTACCACATTTTTCTTCTTTTAAATTCAGAAATAAAATACGGTTATTGGGAACATTCCTAACAACCAAAATTTGGGGAAATTCTTGACCATGATCTCTCCATTTTTTTTCCTCATATTTTTTCTTCTCTCCTTCTGGAAATCCAATTACAGTTCCATTTGTTGTTGTTGTTATTATTGTTAATTATGTGTGTCTTATATTCTTCTAAATTTTTAATCCTTTTTTTTTTTTTTTTATTTTTTCACTCTAGATATTTCCTAGCAACCTGTCTCCACCTCGCTAATCCTCTTTATTGCTATGTCTAATTGGCTGGCAAACCTGAGTTTCAAGTATTGGGCTTTTTTGCCCTAGAATTTCCATTTGAGCCTTTTTATAGATTATAATTTTATGATGAAATTCTTCATTTTTTCATCAGTTCTAACATATTAGTCATTGCTATTTTAAAATTTTTGACAATTCCAATATAAGAACCACCTGTAGTTCTGCTTCTGTTATTTAATTTTTGTCTTCATTTCAAGTCATAGTGTACTGCCTCTTGGCATGTGTAATAATTTTGCTTGAATGCCAAACACCATTTATTACTATATAGCTTCCAGACAATTTTATCTCTTTCCAGAAAGTATTCACCATTTTCTTTCTATTTAGGCACTGAGCTATGCAGTTTTAGTAAGTCCCTCTCTACCTATATTCTCCTCTGCTCTTAAGCTATATTTAGCCCTCCAGGGCTTCCAACTAAGAGTCTGATGCGTTCTCTGGGCCTTTCTTTCTAGAAGGTCCTGTCCTGAACTCTAATCCCTGCTTTTAACTAAAAATCGGTTCTGTTTTCCAGAGGTTTTCTACTTAGCTTCATAGCCTCTTGCACTGTGTAATTTCAGAATTTGGAAGCTGGTTAAAGTAAGAAACCAGGCACATGCCAGGCTTGCTTCTCTGTACCCACTCCCCTCCCATGACACACTCTGTCTCATTTTATGATGTCTTGAAATTTGACTCTCTGGCCCCCAACCACCAAAATCTTTTTTTTTTTTTTAATGTTTTTTATTCTTTTTTTTTTTTTTTATTTTTTTTTCAACATTTTTTATTTATTTTTGGGGCAGAGAGAGACAGAGCATGAACGGGGGGAGGGGCAGAGAGAGAGGGAGACACAGAATCGGAAACAGGCTCCAGGCTCCGAGCCATCAGCCCAGAGCCCGATGCGGGGCTCGAACTCACGGACGGCGAGATCGTGACCTGGCTGAGGTCGGACGCTTAACCGACTGCGCCACTCAGGCGCCCCTTTTTTTTTTTTTTTTTTTTAGATAGAGAGGCAGAACGTGAGTGGGGGAGGGGCAGAGAAAGAGAGGGAGGCACAGAATCCAAAGCAGGCTCCAGGTGCTGAGCTGTTAGTGCAGAGCCCGACATGGGGCGCGAACCCACAAACTGCGAGATCATGACCTGAGCCGAAGCCGGACACTTAACCGACTGAGGCATCCAGGTGCTCCCAAACCACCACAATCTTTATTGCTTCCTCTGTTGGCCCTCAGCAGCCCTCTGTGTGTGCAAAGCCTAAGTTCTCAGCCTCTTGTGTAGCTCCAGTTGGATAAATACCCTCAGAGAAACAGCAGTTGCAAATGCTCAATTCACCTGTCCATTGTTGCTCTCTCTCTAAAATCTTCGTCTCCCTAATTCTGGTTGCTTTAGCAATCCTTTAATGGCAATACACATGTTTGTTGTTTGTTTCTTTTGTGCTAATTGTTCTCAGCGGGAATGTTGGTGTGCTATAAGCCTTTCTATCATACCCATCAATATTCTTGTTCAGACTTACATGGTCACATCCCGCACGGTAAAAGGTAACTTAAAAAGTCCTGAGTGACAATATGCCCAACTGAAAATCAGAATTCCATCCTTAGGGAAGTTAGGAAGAATGGGCGTCAGGATAAGCAACTAGCGCCGTGTTCCAAAGTAGATAGTGGAAGTCGGTTATAGTTCTGGGATGGGATGGAGGGAGTGGTCTTCTCACATGGGGGACTATGGTTAGTCAGAACGCACCTGTGCCAGAATATGACTGTTTTTATGGCCTTCTTACTAAAGTACTGTCAACATTTAGACATTAGGCATCTCTTTCTAATTGTAGCAGCAGTTCCTGTCTGTGGAATAAAAAAAATGAGTCCTCTGTTTAGAAGTATCTTGCAAATGATATCTAAGTTTCCAATAAAAAAGATGAAGCATAACTGTGATGAACACTGGAAACATCACGTCTGAAAACTGTTTTCTCATTTTGTCAGATATACAGTTGGAAAATGTAGTCCTGAAATTTGGTGAAAAGAAAACTCAGAGAATTCTAAAAGATTGTCCTTTAGACCAATTGGTTTGCAATTTGAGGGTTAATAAAAAATGTTCATTCTTTTTCAAGGTAGGATAGAATATGGATTTTGTCTAATGTGAGAGAACTTTCCCATTAAGTTAATCACTGCAAACATTGGGCCCTAACACACAGAAGACATCTAAATTTTGAGGGTAAGAGCTCTCTTGGCACCCATTTCAATTTTATGGGAATAATCAGACGGTTACGAGCAAAAAGCAGTAACTGGAAGGGTCCTGGGATTCTCCTGCAAGTTCTGAAAAAGGCACTTAATATTTCTAACTCTGATTTTTTCCTTTTCCAATCTGTTACAGAAAATAAAATATGGCCTCTGAGGATATATTGGTTATACTAATGAAATAATAACTGGAAGGAGGCTTAGTTCATTGGATGGCCCTGGGCCAATTTCCTTAAACGGTGTTCTTGCCTAATTACTAGCTCACTTAAAATTCAGCACTTTATTAATTTCTTGTTGGCATCATTTGGACTGTTTGATTCTCTGCTCTCTCCTTCCCCCACATTTTAATCTTTCCAGACACTAATCCCTTTAGTTCTTAATCTTGTAGAATCAGATATGTACTATGGGACCTATCCTTAGAAGAATGCATCTATGCACAAAACCCACAGACTTTTGTCTGAAGTTTCAGGAGACTTACAGATTCTTTGGAGCCCGTGCAAAGACTAATTTTTGTCTTCTAAATTAAAGGAAATATAACACATTTAGATTTTTTTCTAATATGTGTTTATCAGATTTTGAACATTTTGTAAACAATTAGGTTCTTTTGTATCCCACTTTTGGACATCTTACTTTTCAACATCTCAAGTCCATAAGATCATACTGGATTATAAAACATAAAAAAACTATACATAACAATTGTAGCCCATGTAATGGGTAATAGAGTACAAGAGTACCAAAGACTTCCATGTTGAGACACATCGGTGTTATTGTCCATGTATTTTTTGCTCTGTGGTTTTTTTTACCTTAATTAGAATTTTTTGTTTCCTAATGGCCCTGACGACTGCCCCCCCACCAACACCTTATATGGTATTTGGCAAGCAGTCACTGAAATCAGAAGGGACATTCTGGTCTTTTTTTTAGTCCCTCACGTACTTACTTTCCTACTACTACTAGGAGCATCTTATATATGCTTCTCCCTCTGCCTTTCTTTTCCCTCTTTGCATATTTAAATCCTCCTCATTCTCACCTGGTTGTTGAGTGGCTTCCGTCCATATGGTTATTCGGGGACCCAGGCTTTTTCCATCTTATAACTCTTACGGTTCTCTAGGACCTCAGAATTCTCTGCTTCCACTAAGGAGAAGAGAGGATAGAGAAAGCACCCGCTTAAAATCACCTTGACCTAGAAGTGACATATATCACTTGCAAACATTCTCAGATGATAAGAACTGCTTCCAGGGCCCCACCTAAGGTGCAAGGGAGTCTGGGGAAGTATAACTTCTTTGTAGGAACACCTCAATGCTAAAAGATGGGGCATTTTTAAAATGTTTATTTATTTTATTTATTTATTTTTTTTATTTTTTTTTCAACGTTTTTATTTATTTATGGGACAGACAGAGACAGAGCATGAACGGGGGAGGGGCAGAGAGAGAGGGAGACACAGAATCGGAAACAGGCTCCAGGCTCCGAGCCATCAGCCCAGAGCCTGACGCGGGGCTCGAACTCACGGACCGTGAGATGGTGACCTGGCTGAAGTCGGACGCTTAACCGACTGCGCCACCCAGGCGCCCCTGTTTATTTATTTTTGAGAGAGAGAGAGAGAGGGAGGGGGGAATGCGGGAGGGGAAGAGAGAGAGGGAGACACAGAATATGAAGCAGACTTTATTAATTTCTTCTCCAGACTGTCAGCACAGAGCCTGACACAGGGCTTGAACCCACAAACCACGAGATCATGACCTGAGCCGAAGTCAGACACTTAACCAACTGAGCCAACCAGGCGCCCCATGAGGAAGCATGAATTTTTGGTGGCATCTACCTCTCTCTGCCCCACTACAGTGTACCAGTGGAATCAAGCATAATGGCAAGCCCATAGTAGGCACTCAGTAAATATTTGCAGAACAAATGCAGTTGTTTGAGGTAGCTTGTGATGAGTAGTAATAGAACAATTTCACATCTGGTGACCAGGGTTTGGAGGAACAGGAGCTCCGTTATGGTGGAGATGCCCAATTTACATAGTCTTGAAATAATAATCCAGGAGAGACTGTGCTTTCTCAGCCTTAATACGTCAGAGTGCACTCAGATGGGTAGCGTCAGTCTTACATCTGTGTTTCAGTCTGCAGGTATGTATCATTCCACAGATGCAGGAATAGAAATAGAAGAAGCAACTAGGGTGAATTATGCCAGAACCAAACTAGAATTGTTTTTATCTTGGCCATTTCAAACTGTATTATGAGTTAATTTCCCAAAAGAGGCAAAAATAAGTTCACTATGAGAACAGACAAATAACCAATCAAAAGTGGGTTGAATTTAGGCTAACTGATTCTTGGGTAAAGATCTTTTTTTTTTTTTTTTTAATGTTTATTTATTTTTGAGAGACAGAGAGAGACAGCATGAGCAGGAGAGGGCAGAGAGAGAGAGGGAGACCCAGAATATGAAGCAGGCTCCAGGCTCTGAGCTGTCAGCACAGAGCCCCATGCGGGGCTTGAACTCATGAGCCATGAAATCATGACCTGAGCTGAAGTCGGACGCTCAACCGACTGAGCCACCCAGGCGCCCCTAGGTAAAGATCTTTGAGCAAACTGTTCCCATTGGGTGAATATATATAAATATAAATATATATATATATATTCATTATGTATATATATTCATTATATATATTCATTTTATATATTTGTATTCATTTTATATATTTTCATGTTGTCAATTTTTATAATGGCCATATGAAGGATTATACATATGGAATCAGGCATATATAGAATACATCAGGAAACTAATTACATTGTATCCATATGTAAAATAACCCTTTTGCTCATTTCACATTGTAATTAAGACTTGATTATCAAATATAAGAGATTGATTATATAACAAATGAAATTATGTTTCCACCAAATCTCTAAATTTTAACCTTATATCCATAAACATGCACCTTTAATAGGGAGTTTACAAGATTAACAGAGACATTCAAATGACCATGAAAAAAGGGCAAATACCTATCTGTACTATTTTTTAAAAAATATTAGCTTTATTACCATATTTTCTTGATTCTAAAATGCACATTTTCATTTATCTTGGCATTTCTGAAATGGAAATATGGCTTACATTCAACATGCCCATTTAAGTATTGTCTCTTTGTTTTCCTTCCCCTCTGCTTTCCTCCGCCCCCCTCCCCCAAAGCAAACAAACAAGCCGAAAGCTCTTATTAAATTGTTGTCTTATTCTCAAGGGGATAGGATGGTATTTTCTAGTTCTTCACTCCTATCCCCTAGAGATACTCCTTCTGCTTATTATCTATATGAAGAGAAGTCATCTACTTAAAATTTCCTATTGAGGGTTAAGCATCCTTCCTTAGAGGATTCTATGAACTCTGGAATCACCCATCTATAAGACATGTCTAGACTATTTCTGTCAGCCAACGCCCTTTCCTCTGCCAGCCAAGTCACATCTGAACAATTTCCACATGTGCATGTCCTTTTGCTGTCCAACTGTCCTCACTGTCCTTCTTGATAGTAATAAGGGATTAATTTTTAACGATCCCAGCCTGTTTTTTATGATGGTTGGTATTATTCTTCTTCTATGTGCCATTGTCTTATGATTCGATTACAAACAGAAGTACAGGCACTTTGTTTGCTGGATGGCTTTATTTAATCTCCACAAAGCAGAATATGAATTAAATATTTTAAAAAAAATAGGAAATGAAGTTGTTTTCCTAGAATTCTTAGTGTAAATTCATGAATTGGAGGGGCTTATATCTAGATTCACATGGAGGCCGGGAAAATCATGTCTTATCCCTGCATTTAATCTCCACCTCCCAAGTTTTAAAAACCAGATAAGATCTGGTTGAAGTGTACAGATTGGACAGATGTAAGGAGTTTTAAAAGTGATCAGGTGTCATAAAAGAACACATTGCCCGAGGGGGTGGGTATGTTGGTAGGTAACCCAGCCCAGCTGCTAGGCTGATGGTTGGAGGGGATTTAGGGGAGGCTTAAAAAGGAGGGTGTATTGCTCAGGACCAGAGAAGTCCTGGCTCTACACCAACATTCTATTCGCAGTCGAGGTGGGGTAATTTTAACGAAGTCAACAATTTTTCTTCCAGATCACGGGTGGACCTTCAGCAGCCCTTTCCTCCACCAGCTAGTCCCCACCTTGCATGCTATCCTCTCCCCATGCTCTTTTCCTTACCCTTTCTTTTCATCTTCAACTCTTTTCTCACTTTTTTGGGTCTCTACACAAGAAAAACTGAAATGTGACTTTCTCAGTTAAGCTCATATTGTAGAGATCATACTGTCTTCATGTACCTGAAACTCACAGGATGGGAGGGTTTGCATAGTTCTTGCTCTGCTGTGCCACTTTTCTTTTCTTTTCTTTTCTTTTCTTTTCTTTTCTTTTCTTTTCTTTTCTTTTCTTTTCTTTTCTTTTTTTAGTTAACATATAGTGCAATACTCGTTTCAGGAGCAGAATTCAGTGATTTGTCACTTACATAAAACACCCAGTACTCATCACAGCAAGTGCCCACCTTAATACCCATCTAGCCCACCCCCCACTCACCTTCCTCCATCAACCCTCAGTTTGTTCTCTAATTTTTAAATGTTTTATTTATTTTTGAGAGAGCACAGTGGGGGAGGGGCAGTGAGAGGAGGACAGAGGATCTGAAGTGGGCTCTGTGCGGACAGCAGCAAGCCTGATGTGGAGTTCAAACTCCTGAACCATGAGATCGTGACCGGAAGCTGAAGCTGGATGCTCAACTGACTGAGCCACCCAGATGCCCCTCCTTAAGGATCTCTTATGGTTTTTTTCCCTCTCTTGTCTTTCCTCTCCTCTTCCCATATGTTCATCTGTTTTGCTTCTTAAATTCTACCTACGAGTGAAATCATATGGTATTTGTCTTTCTCTAATTGACTCACCTCACTTAGCATAATACATTCTAGCTCCATCCACATCATTCCAAATGGCAACACCTCATTCTTTTTGATGGCTGAGTAATATTCCAGTGTGTGTGTGTGTGTGTGTGTGTGTGTGTGTGTGTGTGTGTGTGTATTACATCTTCTTTATCCATTCATTAGTGACATTTGGGCTTTCTCCAATAGTTTGGCTATTGTTCATAATGCACTATAAACATTGGGGGGTGTGTACCTCTTTGAATCTGTATTTTTGTATCCCTTGGGTAAATGCTCTGTGCTGCTTTTTAGCGTTCTCTCTCTCTTTCTCTCTGTCTCTCTCTCCAGCCTCCTCCCCCAGTGGCCCGTCGAAGTCATTTCCATGACTCACATGAAGGGATGCAGAGAGCACAGTTTAGAGCACAAATGTGTTTGACACTGGCCTCCACTGCTCAGAGACTATAGTCTCTGTAGACCATGCTGAGTGGTTTTGAAGATTCAGTGACTTCTTGTGGAGAGCATCTAGCAGAAGGCCTTGCATGTTGCAAGCACTCAGTATATTTCTTCAGTTCCCTTTCTTATCCTCCCTTCCCCATTCTTGATTCTGCTATCTGCACAATTCCTAGAAAGTCTTTTAATTTCTGAGAACAAGATTTTATCATCTGGTTCACAAATTGGGAAGGTATTTCAGTTTTGTCTAAATTAATGGCCCTCTGATTTCTTGCCTTCGCAATTCTTTGTTATCCTCCATCTCCTAAACATTTTCGTCCCCTGCAGGACCTTGAACTCCAGCTCTTTTTTTGACTATTTCCATGTAGACCTGAACCACCTCTCTGCAACACTAGATGTATAGAATTCCCACTTAAGATGCTGTCATTAGCTTTTAATGAGGACTGCGTAGGGGCATAAAAAAGGGCCATATGCACCATATACTCCAAACTTGATATTGAAGGCCCATATATCATGTTGTTTCATATTTCTTATTTTGACATTTACCTGATAAATGGATCTCAGTGCATGAGACCAGGAAAATTCTTGTGTCTTCTATAATTTGGTCAATGTCTTTTTTTGTTTAAAAAATTTTTTTATGTTTTTATTTTTGACAGAGAGCACGAGTGGTGGAGGGGCAGAGAGAGAGGGAGACAGAATCTGAAGCAGGCTCAAGGCTCTGAGCTGTCAGCACAGAGCCCAATGCGGGGCTAGAACTCATGAACCACAAGATCATGACCTGAGCTAAAGTCCGACGCTTTACCGACTGAGCCACCCAGGTGCCCCTTGGTTAATGTTTTTAAGCGTAGAATGGAACTTAAGAAATTGTCACTTTTCCCACCTTGCCTTGGCTGTTAGAAAGCTCAGGAACTTTCTTTCTTTCCTTTTTTCTTTTCTTTCCCTTTCTTTCTTTCTTTCTTTCTTTCTTTCTCTCTTTCTTTATTTCTTTTCTTTTCTTTCTTACAAAATCATAACAATTTTCTCTTAGAAGTAATTATCCTTTTTCTTTTTACTACTTAAAGTTTGGAATTTTATCATATCCAGATTTTCCAGTGTCAATTTTTTTATGTGGTATGTAAACACAATTTAGGATAATACTGGCCTAATTGGCTCCCATGACGACCCAGGGGTAGGGGCCAGTGGTGATGAGGCAGCAGGTCTACGATGATAGAAGAGTCTTTGTAGGGGCACCTGGGTGGCTCAGTTGGTTAAGCGGCCAACTTCAGATCAGGTCATGATCTTACAGTTTGTGGGTTCGGGCCCCGCATCAGACTCCATGCCGACAGCCTGGAGCCTGCTTCAGATTCTGTGTCTCCCTCTCTCTCTGCTCCTTCCTCACTCCTGCTGTGTCACTCTGTCTTAAAATTGAATAAACATTTAAAAAAATTTAAAAAAAAAAAGAGTCTTTCTAGCAGTTTCCCAACAGAATGCTAAGATACCTCCCCAGGACTGCCATGGAGGCCTTGAGACTGCTATGTGCAAAGCCCACAAATATGACCTATTTTAAATATTGGATTTTATGGCTACAAGAAATCTGCTAGGCTCTGTGTTTGCTTCAGGTATGCCAGGACCTCCTTGCCCCAGGAAAAGTAAGTTCTTTTGGGGAAGCCCTCAGGATTCCAACATCTTTAAAATTAATTAACATATTTTTACAATAACACTTTCTATATACTCACTTGTCATGAGGCATTGTGCTGGGTTTTGACATGCATTAGTTCATCAGATTCTCACCACAGCACTATTAGTAGCTGTATTTTATAAACCAGGATGCCAGTTCTTAGAAAAGGTAAAATAACTTGCCCCAAATCACACAGTAAAAGTTGGACCCTAAATCATCTATGTGAAACTTCAACACCCAACTACATTAGGATCTGTCAGGATGGAATGAAACAGCCTGGTTCTGTTCTGGGAGCCAGTAAAGCCCTGTAAGGTTCATCTGAGCAGCCCTGCAATGTGGTAAATCATCTAGACCCAGTGGACTCTAAATTCCTGCCCTTCCCTAATTGGACATTACAGGGACTCTGAGGACCTTGGCATTGACCCATTAGCCAAAGACATTGAATGAGCAAAGGACATTGAATGGCTAGCATATGCCTGACTACATGAATTCACCAGGTATATCAAGTACATTTATGTATTTTAGGGTGACTTCCTGGAAAGGGGACCAGTCAAGTTCTACTTGTCCTATCTCAAGCAGTCTAAGTAAGAATCAAGTCCATTATATTATATGCCTGTTTTAAAATTCACGCACTACTCTCACTGTTCCTTCCAACCGAAATCTCTCCTTTCTACTAATCCATAAAGTTGAACCACCTATGAACTGCGTTGAAACCTGGGGTGGGTGTGGGGTGGGAAGCACACGTTTTTAAAGCATGTCCCCAAATAAATTTGAAACCAAATCACTTTGAACAATTTTACTGCTGCAAATGTCATTGAATTCTCAATTACATTTGATTCATAGACCCTTCATTTCCCCAACTGAATTTTTAAAGTGATTTTTAATTTGGAAGACATAATATTATCTTAAAATTTATCTAGTTGTTTGTAATACAAAAAAAGAAAGTTGTTGATAATACAAAAACTTCCAGTAGTGGTAAAAAAAAATCTCAAACCATCGAAATGCCAAATATTTATCTTTCTTATGAAATGAAATCATTGATTTCCAGATAAACCATTTAGAGCCAAGATAGGCCATTCAAATTGTAATTGTTTTTTTCTTGCTAAACTTAGAAGAATGTATGCATTGTCCTGGTTTAATGAATAGATTATTATCAAATTGGGGTTGCAGATTGGTTTTGTGACTTTATTCTGAATCCAAATTATGACTAAGTTTTTCATTGAGGTAAAACTTACTTAGGATGAAATGCACTCATGTTAAGTTTGTCATTCAATTAGTTTTGGTAACTGTGTTCTCCTGGTAATGACTCCAAGTGACATATAGAACATGTCTATCATCCCAAAAAGTACTCTTGTATTCCTTTCCCCTCTTCCTAGGCAAATACTATTCTGATTTTTATTATGATAGATTAGTTTTACCAGTTATGGAACTTCATATAAAAGGATTTGTACAGTAGGTACATTTTATAACTGGGTTCTTTTGCTCAATATGTTTTTGAGAATTACCCATGTTGCTCATGTCAGTAGTTAATTCATTTTTGTTGATGAGTATATTCCATTGTAACCATATACATCAGTTCCCTTGTTGATAGACAGATGAATGGTTTACAGTTTGGCGCTATTGTGAATAGAGCAACAGACACTCCTATACGAGTCTTTTCATGGATGTGTGTTTTAATTTTTTTGGAACTATATGTATTTTTTTCTTTTTTTATATTAGAGAGTGTGTGAGTCTGTGCTCAGCACAGAGCCCAACACTGGGCTTGATCCCATGACCCATGGGTAGGATCATGATCGGAGGCGAAATCAAGAGTCAGACACTCAACCGACTGAGCCACGCAGGCTCCCCTGGAACTATATATTCTTTCATTACCTCGGACTTAAAAGTATATAAATATTTAAGCTTTTTAAAGACCATTTATTAAGCAAATATTCATCAAGTGGCCACTCTGAGACAGGCTGTGTTCTAAGCGGTGAGGATACAAGAGTGAACAAAATAGACAACATCTCCATTCCTGTGGAGGTCATTGTCTAGCAGGGACACTAAATATAAGCAAGATAAATAAAAAATATACATTGCAGCATATGTCAATAAGTGTTATAGAGTGAAATAAGGCAGAGAAGGGGCCTGGCGTGTAGGGGTATCCAGGTAGCCTGGGAAATCATCCTTGAGAGGAGGACGTTTGAGCAAAGACCTGGA